CTTGCTTTGAGGCTATATATGCTAAGCTAATGCTATTACTTGGATTACTTGGTGGGAGAGACACTTACGGAGATGTAAGGAGGCTAAAACCTCCTCTGTACTGCTGTTATATGGATGTAGAGGTTGCATTTCAGATGAGACCTTAAATACTTTCAAGCCCAGCTGACCAGCGTGGTTCTTTCTTTCTTAGAAGAGTTTTCTGTGGCTCAGTACAAACATCTGAACTCATATCTCAGCTCTTTCACCTACAAAGAATATTGGAAACCTGGGAAATAGATGTTGGGAAGTGCTAAGATAATTGAAAAAATTTTTGTTGAGGAGAAGGCAATCTTATTATCTCTGATCAGGAGGATGCTGATATTTTCTTTTTGGTAGAACAGAATGGTTAGGCTCATTTTAAGCTCCAAATGACTGTGTATAGTTGAAGGATTCTAAATGTGGTGGAGGAAGTTTCAAAATTTCATCTTAACTGCACAATAATGGAAACAATTCAAATGACATCAATAGGGGACTGGCTTAAGAAATTATGGTGCACTTGTTCACTGGAATGCCATGCAGCTCTTTAAAAAGAAAACGTAAAACAAAAACAAAACAAAATGAGAAAGATCCTCATGTGTTGACATGGACGGACCTTCAAGAATTTGTTGTAAAAAAAGTTTTTTTAAATGGGAAGAATAGTGTGTATTCTAGGCTACCTGTTGTGTCAAAGTGGTGGAGAAATAAGAATCTATAGTCATTTGCTTAAATACATGGAAAGAAATCCTGAAAAGAGATATAGAAGTCATCATAGTTCCTGGAGGGAGTAGGTTGGGATGAAACTGGGCAGCTGTGAGATGGGGGTAGGAGGGGGCAGATTTTTTTTTTTTTAGAGAGGGTGGAGAGGCAGATAGAGAGGGAGAGAGAGAATCTTAAGCAGTCTCCATGCCCCGCGTGGAGCCTGACGCAGGGCCGGACCTCACAACCCTGAGATCATGACTTGAGCCAAAATCAAGAGTCAGGCTCTTAACAGACTGAGCCACCCCAGGCAGGGCAGGGGGGGCAGTTTTTCACTGTAATTTTTATGGTTTTGGAACCATTTGAAGACATTCTCTAAAAAATTAAAAATAAAGAGAAAAGTTACAACACTAAAAACATAATTTTAAGTACTATTTAACTTCTTCCTTCAGCTGAAGGAAACCTGATGCTAATTCTATAGGGGAGATAACTCCCAAATGTGTGGGCTGTAACTTGCCAGCAAACGACAGAGAGGGGTAGTTCCCTCTCTCCTCCACCCCCACTGCCAAACAAGACAACAGTGAGGGGCAGTACTTTACTAATCCTGAACCCTTAGAAAAGTCTTGTCTGGGGAACCCTTCACCTCAATTTTCCTGTATTTTAATGTTTCATATCATCCAGTTCTGAGCTATTATCAATATAGATCAGCACTGTCCACAAGAATGTTCTGCAATGATAGAAATGTTCTGTGTCTGCAGTTACCTATATGCAGTGGCTACTAGTCACATGTGGCTGTTAAGCCCTTGAAATGCAGCTAGTATGACTAAGAACTTATTTTTAAATAGTATTTGAATTAATTTAAATTTATATAGCCATATTTGAAGAGTGTAGGTAGTCATATCAATCTGCTTAAGCAACAGAGGCACTTCTCAGGTCTACTATAACTCTGAGCTATTGAAATAAACCATATACAAAGTTCTTCCTTCTGAAAACATCATTTATTCATTCAACAAATAAGCACATACTGTGGGCCAAACACTATGTTATTTCCCAGGGATAGTACCATGAACATAACAGACAAAACACCCACCCTCACAAAGCCTACATTCTAGCACCAGAGATCAGCAAACTACAGCCCATGAGTTAAATCCAGCCCTCTATCTGTTTTATACAGGCTGCAAACCAAGAATGGTTTTTATTTTACATTTTCGAATATTTGAAAAAAGTCGAAAGAGGAATACTGATTCATGACATATGAAAATTACATGAGGGGCGCCTCGGTGACATAGTCATTTGAGCATCCAACTCTTTTTTTTTTTTTTTAAAGATTTTATTTATTTATTTGACAGAGAGAGAGAGAGAGAGCACAGGTAGGCAGAGCGGCAGGCAGAGCAGCAGGCAGAGGGAGAGGGAGAAGCAGACTCCCCGCCGAGCAGAGAGCCCGATGTGGGGCTCGATCCCAGGACCCTGGGCTGAAGGCAGACGCTTAATGACTGAGCCACCCAGGTGCCCCGAGCATCCAACTCTTGGTTTCGGTTCAGATCATGATCTCAGGGTCATGAGATCAAGCCCTGTGTCATGCTTCACCCTCAGTGTGGAGTATGCTTGAGATTCTCTCTCTTCTTCTTTCTCTGGCCCTCCCCCCTGTGCACTCTCTCTCTCAAATAAATAAATCTTAAAAAAAAAAAAGGAAAATTACATGAAATTCAAGTTTCAGTATCCATAAATAGGTTTTGTTTGGAACACAGCCATGCCCATTTAATCATGTATTGTCTGTCAATGGCTGCTATCTCAACCAGAGTTGAGGTAAGCATTGCCACAGAGACCATATGGTCCACAAAGCCATATTTATTATCTGGACCTTTACAGAAAAAGTTTGCCGACCTCTATTCCAGTGGGTGGGTAGTAATATGCAAGACACCATGATAAGCACTTTGCCTGCATTATCTCATCTAATCTTCGGGACAACTCTCTGATAGAGGTTCTATTAGTCACTACGTTGGTAAAATGGGAAACTAGGGTCTGAGAATGTGCATTTCTAACCAGCTTCCAGGTGATGCTGACCTGCTGTCTCACAGATCCCCACCTCTGGATCAGTGATTCTCAACCTTGATTACACATTAGCATCCTCTGAGGAAATTTTAACAAAAAATATGATGCCCTGGCCCCACCCCCAGAGATTCTGATTTAATTGGTCTAAGCCCCAGGCATTGGTATTTTTTTTAAAGATTTTATTTATTTATTTGAGAGAGAGAGAATGAGAGATAGAGAGCACGAGAGGGAAGAGGGTCAGAGGGAGAAGCAGACTCCCTGCTGAGCAGGGAGCCCGATGCGGGACTCGATCCCGGGACTCCAGGATCATGACCTGAGCCGAAGGCAGTCGCTTAACCAACTGAGCCACCCAGGCTCCCAGGCATTGGTATTTTTTTAAAAAGCTTTCCTAGTGATCCAAATATACAGCCAGGGTTGGGAATCACTGCTCTACTGAATCCTATTGAACTTTAGTAAAGAGAACATTGAAATGGGAATCCAAAGACATGAGTTCTAGTCCTTATCCTGACATGACCTATTGAAGCGAGTTGCTTCCCCTCTCTGGTGCTCCATTTTTTTTGCAGGTGAAAAATGAGGAGCTCAAACCAGATGATCTCAAAGAGCCCAAGCTCAGTGACTTGTCAGGTCTTCACATAAAAAGGTGGGACGGTCAGAAGAAGTACCCAGATCTCCCAGTGCATTGGGTACAGCAAGATGATGCCCAAACACCAGGCCAGTTTAGGATAAAACTTATGGGTGACATCCATTATTTGGCAATGCATCAGTATAGAAACTCTTCTACATAGCCACGCTGCCTTACGTACCACACAGTTAGAGTTGCAGTTAAAAATGATTTAATGATAGGGCATCTGGGTGGCTCAGTTGGTTAAGCGTCCCACTCTTGATTGCAGCTTAGGTCATGATCTCAGTGTTGTGAGATCCAGCCCCGCATTAGGTTCCATGTGTGGAGCTTGCTTAAGATTCTCTCTCTCCCTTTTCTTCTGTCCCTCCCCACTCCCTCTATAAAAAAATGATTTAATGATTGTGAGAGTAGTATTTCATTGTAGGAAATTTGGAAATTACAGAAAGTATGAAGAAGAGAACCCTATAATCTCTAGAACCATGTTTTTAACAACCTTGTTTATGAGATCTCAGCCAAGTAAATGACATCGTGATCAAATGATTTCCCACAGAAGCAGGGATGGCTAGGTGGCCTGGAGGGTCCTCCCCCACAAAAATCCCAAAGGTTAAAGCCCTGTTACGACATCTCTGGTAAATGCAGCTCCAAGTCTGGACTAGAAGGTTGTGTGGGCTCCTATTGGGAGCATGGGAACTACAGCCTATAAATGAAATGAGTTTTGACAGTTCTTTCATGCCTAATTGGTACTAGGTTACTCTATTACTTCACTTATGGATTACCCACTGTGGAAAGTTCTCCTTAACATGTCTGTACAACTTTTGAAATGCAGATGAAAGATATTAGATATCTTTGCTTTCACTGAGAGTAACTGGGTGACCCAGACCATTACTTCTTTAGAAATGCATATGGGAAACAATAGCATATGGTACATAGTCAGGAAAATGGGCTAGGACCAGACAGTTCTAGGTTCAAATCCAACCGATGCCTTTGTTGTGTACTGAATGTTTAGTGTCTCCCTCCAAATTCATATGTTGAAACCCTAACCCCCAAAGTGTGATGGTATTTAGAGGTGGGGTCTTTGGGAGGTAATTAGGTTTAGATGAGGTCATAAAGGTGAGACCCCAATGATGGGATTAGTATCCTAATAGAAGAGGAAGAGAAACCAGGGCTCTCACTCTCTCTATCACGTGAGGACATAAAGAGAACGTGGTCATCTGCAAGTCAGGAACAGAGCCCATACCGGGGAACTGAATTGGCTAGCACTTGATCTTGGACTTCCCAGCCTCTGGAACTGTGAGAAATAAAGGTCTGTTGTTTAAGCCATCCTGTTTATAGTATTTTGCTATGGTTGCCAGAGTTCACTAAGACAGACTCTTATTAGTCATTTTTTCTTTCTGTAAACAGATGATAATATCCACTTCACAGAGTTACTCTGAAGATTTAGTGATAATTTGTATGTAAGTAAAGCACTGAGTACAGTGTTCAAAACATATTGAGTGCTCAGAGAATGGCACTTGTATGATGATTATAAATAATAATAATAAAACTTAGCTACTTTGGGGTATGGCTACCTTTAGGACAGAGACAAATGCATGTCCTTTTGCTTATCTTTTAGATGGATTGGTTTCTGTGGAAATCCTGAGGGTTAACACATCCAGCAAGACTGATGCTAGCTCTTTTCACCATGGAGACATTACTTCGTGCCAAGTGTTTTCGGCACCTAGCAATCCCTGGTTCTGTGAGAGTACTGTATAAAGATTATAGAACAGTGCTCCCTCAGAATTTTTCCAACTATGAATCCATGAAACAGGAATTCAAACTGGAGATTCCAGAGTATTTCAACTTTGCTAAAGATGTCCTGGACCAATGGACCAATATGGAAAAGGTATGGAGCAAGGGCCAGTCCAACTACAGTTTCTCAGATGGAAGTGATTTTGCCCCCAGGGCAAATGTCTGCAAACAATTTTGGCCAGGGATGCTGCTATGTATCCTCTAATATACAGGACAGTCCCCCATAGCAAAGAATTATCTGGCTCAACATGTTAATGGTTCCATAGTTGAGAAAGCCTGGGTTATAAAAATGTATGATTATAGATTAACTTCTTAAAAAAAAACACAAAAAGTAGTAGTATGAAGGTCAGAAATGGTCAGAAATGGTAGGGAATGAGGCATAGATATAGCATTGAGAGAACATAGAGGGATGTAAGAATTCTAACTTTTTGGAAAGAAAAACAATCAGGCTAAATGAGAAATGACATGGCTCCCAACAGCTAGAAATTAAAGACCCCAGAGTTATTTCCAAATATCCCAAGTGTGTCCTAACTAACCAAATATCCCATGTGTGTGACCTGTGAATTTTCTTCTGAAAACATATTCCACTGGGTCAGTTAAAATAGAATTAAGCTGTGTAATGACCTTTAAATCATCTGGTTTGTCTTTCTTCAGGCTGGGAAGAGACCGTCCAATCCAGCCTTCTGGTGGATAAATGGAAATGGAGAAGAAGTGAGATGGAGTTTTGAGGAACTGGGATCTTTGTCTAGGAAATTTGCCAATATACTTACAGAAGCCTGTTCCCTGCAAAGAGGAGATCGAGTAATTGTGATTCTGCCCAAGATCCCAGAATGGTGGCTTGCAAATGTGGCCTGTTTGCGAACAGGTTGGTAGTGTTTGCAATCTGATTACATTTAAAGTAGGCTGAATGGGAGATCTTCCAAAACATCTAAGTAATCATGAGACATTTATTTGGGCAAATTATTTGAGGAACTGTACACAATATAGTATTATTCTCAGGACCTTAGAAATGTGTTGGAAACACACCATATCTTTTGACCTAAACTATGAGTTGGGTTTTTCATAATGAAATAGGTTTATTAACCAAATGCCAATCAACAATTGAATACCCTCATACCTACCACTCTTCTCTTCCTATAGACCCATGGTCATCTGAAACTCAATTCAGCCACAAACTCAAAGTTCTTGTTTCATGCCTTTATTTCTCTCATGGTTTTTATTGCCATTCATCTGGTGCCCAAAGCAAGCAGCTGCTACTCCTCCTTCCAAATCAGTCCCTACATCTTGTAAATTTGACTTCCTACATGTCCCCAGAGTCCCTCTTCTTCTCTAATCCCATTGCCATTGCCTTACTTCACGTTTACCACCTCCTGAATGGATTTGCCCAAAAGTCTCCCTAATTCTGATCCTCTGTGTGCCCACACCTTACTCCAATCCAATTCATCCTCCATAGCTAGTGTTCTTTCTAGAACATTTTATCCTGTCAATATGTTGCTTGACATTATTTAATAACTCTCCATTGCCTACCAGGTAAAATTTGAACTCTTTAGATGTGTCATGGAAGGTCTGAGCTATCCTCCCTTCATTGTTTTCATACTCTCTGCTCCAGCTATATCAAGTGATTTCCTATAAGGTTCATAACCTTTCTCATTTCCTGGATTTTGTGCACACTATTTCCTGTGCTTGGAAAGCCTTTCCCTCACATCTAACCACCTGGACAACTTCTATTAGATTTTCAGGTCTCAACTCTAATGTCACTTCTCAGGCAACCCACCCTGATGTCCCAATTCAGGTGCATTCTTTTTTGACCTCCCCTAGAACACATGTATGTATTTATATTTTAACCTGTACTATATTGCCTGAGTATATTATTTGTTATAAATTTGTCATTTCCCTAGGACTATGTATGTCCCTAAAAGCCAATGACTATGAGATAGCCATGTCTGTACCTCCAATTATTGGCATATAGTAAATGCTCAGTAAAATATTTGTTGAATTAATTAATATCCCCACTGTTGTAATAAATCATTATATTGAGTAAACACTCTTAATTCATAATTACTTGCATTTGAGAGTTACATGTTCTCATATCATATGTACCTATAAATTGTACACTGGAGTAGCAGAGCCCACTTTTACAGAGTTTTTTTTAGACTAATAGAATAGAATTTTAGAATAATAGCTTTCATGAATTCTGCTTAAGCTCACTGTCTTAGTAAAGGGGCAACATGTTGGACTGCCAGGACCAGAAATCCATTCATATTAGTTCAATAAGGAAGGAGAATGGTTGAATATCTACTGGACATTCTACAGGAATCTACAGGGGAAAAAAAGTGCAGTGGCTTCTTTCTCTATTTCTTTTGCTCTGAAGCCATAGGGCCTCTTGTCTCTGTCTCCCTTAAGCATCTGTTCCTTTGACTTCTGTTTTCTGCTAACACATGATTTCTTTGCTCTCCTTCATTTTGGCTGACATGTGGCTTGGTTTGCTACACAGATGCCTTAGGTCCTAACTGTATGTCCCAGGCCACTCAGTCTCTTAAGTCAAATACTTGAGGCAGAATCTAACTGGCATGGCTTGGGTTGGGCCAGTCAGACGTGGTCAGAGGCAGGTTCATCTGATACAAACATGGTTATTGGGGCTGCTGAAAGGAAGGCAGATTCTCTTAGAAGGGAGAATGAGCGGGGGAGAGTAAATGGTAAGTCTAATATACTAACAATGCTGAAAATAAGCATTATTTACCACCTAGAGGGTGGGTGGATGGGCTAGGCTTTCAAATCTCGTTGCCAAATTAAATTATGGAAGTTATTTCTTTTGTCCACCAAACAAACTTCTGGAAAAACTTTGTCTTCTCATGTAGCTCTGTTAATAGGGAGAGAAGGGGCTACTAGCACCAGAGTCTTTTGACCCTTCATGCAAGTGTATATATTGGTAATATCATTTTGTTCACCCTGTATCATCAACACGGTAATGAGAGGCCTCCCCCAAGATTTACACTTGATATTAGCCAACAGGCTGAGAAGCGATGTCCTCCCCCAAGATTTAAAGTAACATTTTGCTCCCTGCCAAGAAACTATGTAATGCTTCCCTAAATGATTAATTTGGACAGGAAGTAGTTTTAATAGGTAAGACTGATCACTATTAATAGGTTCTTTTAAAGATAGGATATGAATAATAGCAGAAATTCATTATCGAAGGGTGATGTGTTTAAATAAAGTGTTTCTACTAGGTATGAAATGCTAGCAGTGGGCTTGTTCTTATAGAGTGCCTTTAAATTATAGAAAACTGTTAGGCCATGGTAGGCTAATTACTTATCCCCAGATGGAACATCTCTAAGGAATAACCTTAGAGTTAAAGACTCATAAACATTGCTGCACTGCCTGATTAGAAAAGAAAGATATTGTGAAGAACTTTGTGTTTGGGTTCTGGTTGTCTGTTTCCTGAAGAACTCCACTGGAGGAGGTTGTCCTTCCCCAAATGGAAAGACAAGCCAGTGTCAAGAGTCCAGGAATGACCAGGTATGTATTCTTCAATCTTCCTTTCCTGCTGTGATGCTGGGAAGAGCAAACACCATTGTGAAGTACATACCTTCCAGCCTTTAGGGTCTTTAGGGTCTGGACTTAAGAGTAGTAGAGACCGAGATATAGATATGGATGCATGTAACTATAGATACAGATATATATTCTTAAAAGTCCATTAATCCTTTGGGAAAATAATAGCTAAAATTTATTCAGCAGTCTTTACACATTTTAACTCATTTACTCCTCATTAATCTTATAGAATCCCCATTATACAGATGTAGAACCTGAGACTCATGGAGGTGAAGTGGCTTGTCCAAGGCCACTTATAAGACTGTTTGGCTCCAGGACAGACTCTTACCCATTATACTACAGTGTAATTTACAGCAGGGAGAAGTAGAAGACCAGAAAAGATGAATGCCTTAATCCTTCCCTTTGGAAAGAAATCATAAAACATTTATGTGGGTTTTAAAAGGTGCTGGACTGAAGTAGTTAAGTGTACAGCTCTGGGGTCAGGCTACAGAGTTCAGTTACCGCACTGCCACTTTCTACTCCAGTGATATTTGGCAAATCATTCATAGATTTGAACATAGATTCACATTTTATGTTTTGGGTTTTTTCGGTAGGGATTAAATAAGTTAAGACATGTAAAACACTTAGAATGGCATCTGGCATTTAGCCAATAAATATTGGATAATATTACTCTTCAATCAAAACTCTCTTTATAAAATGAAAAAAAAAAAAACAAACCTGTCTTCAAGCTGAATGTTATGAATGGTCTTCAGATAGAAGAAAATTATTTAGCATTTAACATGCTTTCATGTTAGGTCAAAAGGGTCACAGATATTGAGATGCCTTGAAAGGCAAAAGCAGAATAATGAAAGGAAGACAAATAGATACCTAGACTGGTAAACTGGATGGTAAACTCATTCTGAGACATAGAAAGTAAAATCCCTCCTTCTATACATTGTTTCTTTTCTGCTCTTTTAGGGACAGTTTTAATTCCAGGAACCACTCAGCTAACCCAGAAAGACATTCTCTACAGACTACAGTCTTCGAAAGCAAAGTGCATTATTACCAATGAAGTTTTAGCCCCAGCAGTAGATGCCGTTGCATCTAAATGTGAAAATCTGCACTCCAAGCTAATTGTGTCTCAGAAACCCAAAGACGGGTGGAGAAACCTCAAGGAGATGATGAAGTGAGTAACCATAACTGCTGTAGAGCAGCTTCTCAAAAAGAAAGGCAACACTGAAAAGATATTCAACCCACAGGTGCTCAGAAAAATGAAAATTAAAACAAGGCAAAGGGAGCAACTGGTGATTATTGCTGTGCTAATCATCTGCAAAGCTCTGAGGCAGGAAGGAGCTTGGAGTGGTTTTTGAATGTTTGGATCTTGACTGAAACAGGCCCTGAGATAGAGATTAGTTGTGTAAGAAGTTTATTAAGGATTTGTCTTGGGGTCATACCCTATGAAAGAAGGGGAAGGATGTGGGATTGGGCAAAAGAAGAAATTCGTCTGCCATGCCCTCCCAGAAAAACCTTCAGCTAATCCACTGGGACGTCTGGGGCTTAGAGAGTCCTTCAAAGTTGTTCCCAGATCAAGCAAAAGGTCCTGGCCTTTATATACCCTCACTGATCAGTAACTGAGTGTAGGCTTTCCCTAGAAGGAGGGGTGACCTTGAGCGAGGCAGCTCTCTTGCAGCCAAAGCAATCTCTAAATAGGGCTCCCAGCACCTGTGGGGAGTAAGTCCTTTGTTCCTGCAGCAGGATCTAGGAGGTGCATTCACAACACCAACCACAGAGCTGTTATCTCCCAGAGAAACTGATCATAATCAATTCTTATGTGAGGACTATATCATTTCCTTGCAGATAGCAACACTTCAGGTTATAAATAAGAACACTTAATGTTTTTTTTTAAAGATTTTATTTATTTGAGAGAGACAGATAGAGAGCATGAGAGGGGGGAGGGTCAGAGGGAGAAGCAGACTCCCCGTTGAGCAGGGACCCCGATGTGGGACTCGATCCCAGGACTCCAGGATCATGACCTGAGCCGAAGGCAGTCGCTTAACCAACTGAGCCACCCAGGCACCCCAAGAACACTTAATGTTAATGGATGCTATTAGAAAACTAAGTTACGCTGATGTTCAGTCCCAGCTATGGAATGCTTCCAGGGGTCACTTAGCACTCTTGCCAGGTATTGGTTCTATCTTAGCTCTAGGTTGGCAGCCAGTCCCCTCTCTAGAATGAGCTTCCCACCTTTACGCAAGGATTTGGAAGCACGTTTGCAACTATTGACTTATTCCTACCTCTTCTAAAATAGCTAACATTTGGGATGCCTGGGTGGCTCAGTCGCTTAAGTGTCTGCCTTTGGCTCAGGTCATGATCTCAGGGTCCTGGGATCGAGCCCCGCATCGGGCTCCTTGCTCAGTGAGGAGCCTGCTTCTCCCACTCCCTCTGCCTGCCACTCTGCCTACTTGTGCTCTCTCTCTCTGTCAAATAAATAAATAAAATCTTTAACAAAATAAAAAAAATAGCTAACATTTATTGAGTTCTTACCAAAAGCCAAGTACTTTTCTAATTAAAAATGTTATAATTGCAATAATGGGTAACATTTATATGGCACTGGTTATGTGCCAAAAACTATTCTAAGCATTTCATATATATTAACTCATTTTCATGTCACAATAACCTAAGAAGCGGGTACTATAGTAATACAAATGAATAAGGTCAAATGCTAGGATCTGACAGAGCTGGGTTTCGTACCCAGGGAGACTGGCACCTGAGCCCACACTGCTAACTATGTTTACTGCCTCTAGTGGTGAGAGATTGGTATGATAACCCCACCTTAGGTTTCTATCTACAATAGAAGTGATAGGTACGCAACTATAGGTACTATTTTTAAGGAAGAAAATTATGGAATCATAGACTAAACAGTCTAGCTTTATTAGGCTTTTAAAACAGCTTTTCTATGATTCTTGTGGCCTAGATGTTTCTAATCCTAATGTTTCATTCTCACCCCAATACTCCCAGATAAAATCTCTACGCTTCTTAGGCACTGTGTGTGCAAAGTTCACCTCCTCTCAGGTGCCCTAATGTATGACCTATTAGTAGCCCAGTTATCCTTTGGAAGTACAGCTGATTCTTGAACAATGTGGGAATTACCAACCTGACTTATACCATTACCCATGACTTCTATTCACATACTTTTTTTTTTTTTTTTTTTTTTTGAGATAGTGAGGAGAGAGCATGAGCAGGGGGACAGAGGGAGAGGGAGAAGCAGGCTCCAGACTGAGCAAGGAGACCGATGTGGGGCTTGATCCTAGGACCCTGAGATCATCACCTGAGCCAAAGGCAGTTGCTTAATCAACTGAGCCACCCAGGCGAAGCATCCCTCATACTCACTTTCTTACAAACAACAACAACAACAACAACAACAAAAACCACTTGAAAACATCCACAGTGAAGAGAAAGGGTCAGTTCTCACATAGCCTCGATTATAAGATCATAGACTCCTCATTCTGCTAGTGGTATGATAAACCACTTGAGTTTTTTAAAATGCCTCTTCTTTATTGTAAAGAGCTATGAAGCCAACTATTATAAACGGGCTTTGATGACAAAATTTAGTTTAATTCCAGAAAGCACCTAAGAAGATGGAGAAAGAGATGACTTTTACCTTGGAATTCAACCTAAGTCACTGGGGCCTGATCCATGAGGTGAAGAGGTCCACATACATGGTTTCTTGAATTCTTTTCTGTGGTAACAGTTTATGATGCCATGTGCAATGTGCAGAATCATTGTAGTTCTTCCTTTGTAGACACGCCAGTGACAACCACACCTGTGTGAAGACAAAACATGATGAGATGATGGCTATTTACTTTACCAGTGGAACAAGCGGATCTCCTAAAATGACTGGACACACTCATAGCAGTTTTGGTTTAGGATTATCTGTAAATGGAAGGTACCTTCACAAAACTCCAGATAGACGTGTCAAAACTACAAAGGTGATGATTCATTTATTGGTCTTTTAAATTTGTTTTCCTAATATATATCAGGACTATTCTTTGTTTTCCCAGGTTCTGGCTGGATTTGACTCCTTCAGATGTGATGTGGAATACCTCTGACACAGGCTGGGCAAAGTCGGCATGGAGTAGTGTCTTTTCTCCATGGATCCAAGGAGCATGTGTATTTGCACATTATTTGCCACGTTTTGAGCCAACTTCCATCTTGCAAGTAAGGCAGAGCACAAGAGGTCTCCATTTAGGAATGCTTTAGCAGCATCCCTGACAGGGCTGATGAATAAAGTAACTTGCAGAAATCAGAGTAGACAACATGATTTAAGATATTTCACATCTGGAAAGTCAATTATCCTGAAAAGATATACAGAGGAAGGGTGTGAATGCATTTATGTTAGAATAAACAACATTTAAGTTGTGCTGTGCTTACCATAAACATTTAGGAACTTATTAAAGTTGTAGTAAGACTAAGAGTTTACTTCTAAATTGCAGACACTTTCCAAGTTTCCCATCACAGTCTTCTGTTCAGCACCAACTGCATACCGAATGCTTATACGGAATGATATGACCAGGTAAGAAACGTTGGTAAAGAGGCACTTAGTGGGGGCAGGGGAGAGGAAGAGGAAGTCATAAAATAAAGGATCTTTCTGTCTAAAAACATAGGTCCACATTAGTAGGTATGGAATTTAACAATCTCTTGTCCCCCTTCTCCTTGCTTTCATTCTTTAAGTCATAATTGTTACGTCCAGGGCAGGCTCCCCCAAGCAAGGAGAGGAAAGGGAGGGTTCAGCCATGGGTATACCACTGAGTCCAGTGGTTATGGATAAAAAGATATTTAATCTTTTGGATGATGAATGTTACCTGAGCTGAGAAACTAGAGAAATGACCCCTATTTGGAACCCTATCCCAGCAAATAGGAAAAAGGATATTTGTCTTTTGCTGTATTACTGATTCCATTTGAGAGGGTGCATTGGTAAATATTTTTAAATTGTTAAAATTGTTAAAACTTTTTGAATAGGAAATATTTCATACGACATAAAATTCAATAGGTATATAAGGATATAGAGTGAGAGGTCGTCTTCCTCTAAGCCTTGTCCTCAGTCTCCGTTCTCCTTCTCCATGAAATCTGTGCAAACGCAAGCCAATATGCCAGTATTCTCACCCTTTTATAAACATAAATGGAAACATAATATGTTCACGGTTCTGCACCTTCCTTTTTTTGCCTAACAGTACATCCTGGAACTGTGTGCTATACAGTTCTATCCAATATGGTAACCGCTTGCCACATGTAATTACTTAAATTTAGTTTTAACTAAAAATTCAGTTCCAAAGTTGCACTAGCCATGTTTCAAGCCCTCAGTAGCCACATAGGGCTAGATGATTCTGCAGTGGATAGTGAAGGTAATAGAACACTTTGATTGTGGCAAAGATTTCTACTGGAAAGCACTGTCTAGGAGCTTCCTTATTCTTTTTTTTATAGCTCTATAGTATTGCATAATATTCCACAATTTAACCACACCATTGGTAAATTTTTAATCATTGATTTAAAATGTTATCAGGCAGACATGCAGCGCCTTCCCTGAGGATGACATGGCTTTTTTTTTTTTTTCTTGGCAACAAATCACACACTCCCAAAAAATAAAAGTGGGAAAAAATGGATGTCTTGGGACTCATTTTATGATGTTAGAATGGTTTGTTTATTTTGTATTGGAAAGGGGAGGAAGGAGGAAACTAAAACACTTTATATTGAATTTCATTAGAAATAATTCTAATTTCCATTTCTCTCCATTTTTTTCTCCTAAATTTAACTTGTTTTCTGAGAAGCTGTAAGTTCAAAAGCTTAAAGCACTGTGTGAGTGCTGGCGAACCAATCAATCCTGAAGTGACTGAACAATGGAGAAAAAGGACAGGTCTGGATATCTATGAAGGATACGGACAGACTGAAACGGTATAGGACCTCATCAAAAAGACAGGGCTGGACTTGACTAGGCTGGATAATTAAAACTGATAAATAAATATAAATAACTGATAAATAGATTTTAAAATAAGTGTTTATTATATCCTTATGATTGAGGGATAGGAAGGGAGATGAGTGCTTAGAATAGTTAAAAAAAAAAAAAAGTTGGAAGGGAAGCTAGTTGCAAAAACGCTCTGTAACAGATAACAGTTGTTGAGACATTCATTGAGAAAAGCCACAATAGACCTTTCACAATAGAGTGAGAGCATTAAAATATATTTTAAGTGAAAGAATGCTAGATCCACAGAAAGATTTCCCCTTATGTAAGAGGGAACGCTCTTAGTCAGGGCTGCCTCAAAAATGGAAAATGCTGAGTTCCTTGTTACTTGAAATATTAAGAGTTCACTAGATAACTCCTTGGCAAGTATACTCTAAAAAGCGTTATTTAAAGAGCTTGTAGAAATAAGGATAAGAAGAAATTCTAGAGGAAATGAACAAACTACTAACAAAATTGGTTATTATGTAAGGAAAAGGGGGCATACAATGGAGCAGATAAGGGAAAAGCTGAAAGAAATTTTTCATAGCATGTCTTTTTATAATGCTTCTATTTATAAACCATGAGAATGTAGTACCTGGTCAAAAATTAAAATAGCAAAAATAAAATTGACAGATGTTTTAAATAGAAACAGCATAACAAGTATCATGCTAATATGAGTACAAATGTTTTCATAAATATGGATATTTTAGTAATTACCAACTTATTGTTATAACTTTACTATATGTATTTGTTTATGTCTATCTCTGCATTTCACAAGAACAGAAAATTTGTTTTATTTTGAGCCTCAGTCATCATAATAATGATGATCATCAATAAATATTTAATGAATGCATGGTAGATAAATAAAAGAATTTTAAGTTACTTATAATGTTACTTGGTTCTTTCTCCTTCTGAACTAGGTGCTAATCTGTGGAAATTTTAAGGGAATGAAAATTAAGCCTGGCTCAATGGGAAAGCCGTCTCCTGCTTTTGATGTTAAGGTTTGCACATCCCCTTCCAGGAGAATATTTAACGACCCAATCTGTTTACCACTTAACCCACTCTACCCTCCCCTACCGTCCTAGTTTCGGTGATGATATCATGCTAACTTCTATGATATCTTAATTTCCATGTAATGGAAATGGATTAGAGACATTACTTTAATGGTCTCTCTCTCCTTTTTTTTTTTTTGCAAAGCAGTTTTTTGTGCCAGTTCTAGGCATTTTATAAATATTAAGCTATTTCATTCCCAGAAAGAACCTATGAGAGACATGACATACCAATATAAGAACCATTTTACAACGGCTGAAGGAAAGTAGGAGATACAGGCTTCCAGTTATAGAATGAGTAAATTACAAAGATAAAAGATACAGCATAGGGAATATAGTCAATGGTATTGTAATAGTATTGTATGGTGACAGAGGGTAGCTACACTTGTGGTGAGCATAACATAATATATAAACTTGTTGAATCACTATGTTGTACACCTGAAACTAATATAATATTGTATGTCGACTGTACTTCAATAAAAAATAAAAAAGAACCATTTTATAGATGAGGCACAGAGAGGGAAGGTCATACAGCTAGGAGCTACTAGTGCTGGGATTCAGTCCCAAGCAATCTGGTTCCAATATCTGTATTCTTAACCACAATACCACACTGCCTTTTCTGATAAGGGAGGTCAAGACCTTCTAAGGGGTTCAAGTAGGCCAAAGGAAGCTACAGTTTACAGTAGCTGAAGTATTTTTCTCCTTCCCCAGCCCTGCTTGGCCATTTCCTGGCTCTCTAGAACCATGGCCATTATTACCACCTGATCCCTAGGGAGCCTCCTATTGTCCCATATGCACACTTTGTACAGGGTTAGAATTGTTCTCTGATCAGTCCACCCAAAGCTAGCTATAGCCAAAGGAACTTACACTGATACGTAAGAGAAAACCATAGCATAGCAACAAAAATACAAAATGGATGAATTTACAGAATGGAGCGCTCAAAACCAAACCTAAATGAGGGGTAATTATAGACGAAATCAATCTTCCCAAGCTTTTCTGATCATAAGGATTACATGGACACTTGTTAAAAAATACTAATTTTCAGGCTCCTTCTAGGTGGGACCCTGAAATCTGTGTTTTAAACAGGCATCCCAGTTTTTATGATCAGGTAAGTTTGAGAAAGTTTGAGTAAGTTTGAAATGGATTTCTGATGTCAGTTTATAGAATAAGCCAGACCTGGGTTCTTTCCCTCACTTTAACTTCACTGAGAACCTTGTCTAAAGATAGGCTTGCCTGGTGGTTCAGGTCTGGCTCTGAGTTTCATGAGTTAAGGGTCTTTGGCTGAGTGTCTCTGGGGAAGTTATTAAAGTCTCAGTTTCCTGATTTGTAAAATAGGGACTAGGATGACCAACTTGTCCCAGTTTGCCTGGGACTTACTTGGTTTTAGCATGTAGTCATACATCCCAGGGACACTCTCCTGCCTCTGTCCTGGGCAAACCAAGATGGTTGGTTGCCCTAATAATAACAGAACTGCTATCATAGGTTTCTCGTGAGGATTAAATGAGATGATATCTCTAAAAAGCGTAACAAAGTGCTTCACACATAATAAAGGTCTGAAAGATAGGGGCCATTATTATCATTCATCTCTCCCTTGCATTCCCTTCCCTTGAAAAGTTTTTCTAAGAAGGATGGTAGGGGAGCCCTGGTTACATTCTGTAAACAGGCTTAACAATAGTTCATTAGTTTATAGCCTGCCTTAGGTTGGAGAAAGAAATATTGGTAATTAAGCATTATCATGTCTGCATTATAGATAATCAAGTTGGCATTTCAAAAAAGCTGTGTTCCTTTCTTCCCTCTTAACCACAGTTCCCAATATGCATTGCTGTGAAGGTCTCACAGGTGCCGCTGTACTCACAGCAATCCAACAGCAATGTATCACCACTACCCCACTAATTCAAGCCCAGTGGTTTTTCTGGAGCAACTATATTTGAATGCAGAAAGGGTGTGGCAAGAGGAGAACTGCTCTGTCATGCATTCCCAGTCAGCATTATTACCTTCATTTTTTCCCCAATTTTTAATTATGATAAAACACATAAAATGGACCATCTTTTTTTATTTTTAAAGATTTTATTTATTTATTTGACAGAGAGAGACACGGCGAGAGAGGGAACATAAGCAGGGGGAGTGGGAGACGGAGAAGCAGGCTTCCTGCTGAGCAGGGAGCCCGATGCGGGGCTCGATCCCAGGACCCTGGGATCATGACCTGAGCCGAAGGCAGACGCTTTACGACTGAGCCACCCAGGCGCCCCAAAATGGACCATCTTGACCATTTTTAAGTGCATAGTTCAGTGGTATTAAACACGTTGATAATATTGTGCAACTATTACTACAATCCATCTCCATTACTCTTTTCATCTTGTAAAACTATATCTGTATCTATTAAACAGTAACTTCCCATTCCCCAATGCCCCCAGCCCTGGCAACCACCATTCTACTTTCTACCTCTGTGACTATTATTTATAGTACCTCATATAAAGTGGAATCAGTGTTTGTCTTTTTGTGACTGGCTAATTACACTTAGCATAATGTCAAGTTTCGTCCATGTAGCATGTGTCAGAATTTTCATCCCTTTTTAAGGCCGAATAATATCCCATTGTAAGGATATAACACATTTTGCTTTTCCATTCATTTGTCGTCGATGGGTGCTTGGGTTCTTTCCACATTTTAGCTATTGGAATAGTGCTGTGATCAACATGGGTATACAAATACCACTTCAAGACCATGCTTTTAATTCTTTTGGGTATATACCCAGAAGTAGAAATGCTGGATCACATGGTAATTGTTTTTAATTTCTTGAGGAATTGCCATACTGTTTTCCACAGCGACTGTACCATTTTACATTCTCACAACGGTGCACAAGGGTTCCAGTTTTTCCACATCCTTGCCAACACTTGTTTTCTGTGTTTTTGATAGCAGCTATCCTAGTGGGTGTGAAGTGATATCTCTTGGTAGTTTTGATGTGCATTTCCCTAAGGTAGCTACCTTCATTTTTAACTTTTCCCCAAGGGCTCTTATTACTGCTCTTATTACCTAGCTAAGAGCATCTGCAATGACAGTGTGGCATCTGGGGATGTGCTCCAACCAGCTGGATACCGGATTCTTGCAACTTCAAAGCCCAAAGCCCATAATTTTCATGTTTAAAGATTTTTAAGGCCACTTGGACAATAAGGAATGTGATTCTCTCCAGAAATAAGACATTTTGCCTCTTCCCATCTATTAAGGAGTAGTCTATTATAAGTATCTGGAACTCTTAAAACATCTCCTTTCCATCAGTAATTCCTTGATCCTGGAGCCAAATGTTCTTTAGATGACTGTGTGGGAATTTATATTTTTTTATTTACAAGAACTTAAAAGATTTTACAATTAGAATTCTTCTGCCTTTCAAGTTTCTCTTTGGGGACACAGCACATTTCCATCAGGAAAGTGCCAAATAAGTATTATACCCTTATTTTCCACACAAGCCACATCTCAGGTTTGAAGGCTCTTGGTGGATATATATAAAAGAAAGTAGAGAGTTCATATTTAAAGATAGCTAAAAGTTATTTAAGGCAAAATCTGGTACATGAGTTAAGTAGCTAGCCTGAAAAATGTTAATCTGGGTTTTTAAAAATTGAATTGAACTCCCTGGAGAGATTTTACAGAGAAGTGTAGTGATGAAAAGGGCAGGATCTGGAGTGTGATTGCTGAGATTTGAATTCCAGCTCCGTCATATACTGTGTTGCTTAAACTCTGCACCTCAGTTTCCTCAGGTAAAATGAGCGTAGTAATAGTGCTAACCAGATAGGACTGTTGTAAGGACTAAAGAAAACAATACATGTGAAGTACTTAGAGCTGTAGCATTTATTACTTGGAATGTAGTCAGGGCCTACGAAATGCTAGCTACTGTTAGGTACTTCACTGTTAGGTACTTTGGGGGAACCAGGAGGACTGGGAAAAAGGTAAGAAAGCAAGGCTTCTGGCATACTCACCAGTGTCTCAACCAGAGAACATTCTCCTTTCCCTGCTTACATATATGGGGCTCCTGAAGTAAGGTTTTATTTGTTCCACAGTTAATCAAAGTTTGACAACCAGTAATGAAATACTTACTTGAGAGTAAAAGATAACCAAGACATATCGCAAATGATAAAAGGTTGTAAAACAGTATACTATAAAGTGATCCTATCTTTTCCTATGTCTATATTGTCTTAAAAAAATCACCAAAAATGCGATTATTGCTAGATAGAATTAAAGATGATTTTTATTCTTCACATTTTTCTAACTTGCACTTTATCATATATTTTGCACTAAGAATTTAAATAAACAGTTCTCTTGGGAATTTAAAGTATACTTAATTTTTTTTTTGAAGTCTGCATTCTTAAATGGCAAAATACAAAACAAAACATGCAAAGTAAAATTTTAACGTGTATCTTTACATAAAAATTTCCTTAAATAAATTGTTCTATTTTATCCTAGATTTTAGATGTAAATGGCAATGTTCTACCTCCTGGACAAGAAGGAGATATTGGCATTCAAGTTCTACCTAAACGACCATTTGGCCTTTTTGCTCACTATATAGTAAGAGATTTATTAAATAACATCTTATTTCCTATTTATTTCTCAAAAGTGCTTGGTAACTATCCCCATTTGCCACAAAACACACCTAGAATAGGTGCTTGGACTTTTCTTGAGAGAGATTCATTGTCCTGAATAGTAATCCCTCAGATAGGAAACTGAAGAAACACCCAAATGCTTGTTCTCCTGAGGCTAGATCACTGCTCCAGGCTCATGAAGTAAGAGAAGGGAGCCCTAGAAAGATAGCCCTTTTTGTATACACTGGTCCTCTACATGATAAAACAGCACCTAATCATTTTCCTGAAATTTGATTAGTGGTCTCCCTTCTTGAGTGAGAGGGATAGAAAATGGTGCAGAGAGATTAAGAAATATCTTTCACTAGAGGCCTTCCAAACTCCCTACTGTTTGCAAACCAAGTATACAAATAAAAGTGAAATTTACATTGATATAATCAAAGGTCCAGGTTCTACTTGTCAGTGAAATTTTTTTATTTTTATTTTACTTTTTTTAAGATTTTATTTACTTGACAGAGATAGAAAGAGCACAAGCAGGGGGAGCGGCAGGCAGAGGCAGAGGGAGAAGCAGGCCCCCTGCTGAGCAAGGAGCTCCATGTGGGGCTTGATTCCAGGACCCTGGGATCATGACCTGAGCCGAAGAAAGACACTTAACAACTGAGCCACCCAGGCATCCCTACTTGTCAGTGAATTTTACATAATGTAACAATACTTCCTTTTTCTTCCTGCCAAAGTTACAGAACCAGTTCTCTGTTTCTGTGTAAAATGAAACAAAATAAAAAAACAAAGTTTATTCTTTATTAGGTGCTGGTGCTTTCTTTTAACTCTGAGTATTCACCTCTCTCTTTCCCTTCCAGTGCTAGGCATTAACCACCGAAAAGACTTAATTATCCCACACCTTAGATCTCTGAACTCCTGCAGTATTTAGTGATCCATCAAAGAAAATTCTCAGGCGGGGGGCGGAGGGGTGCCTGGTGGCTCAGTTGGTTAAGCATCCAAGTCTTGGTTTCCCCTGGAGTTGTGATCTCAGGGTCGTGGGATTGAGCCCTGCATCAGGCTCTGCATTACACGTGGGGTCTGCTTGAGATTCTTTCCCTCTCCCTCTGCCTCTCCCCCACTCCCACTCTTTCTCTCTCTCCCTCTCAAATTTTAAACATCTTTAAAAAAGAAAAGAAGGGGCACTTGGGTGGCTCTGTCAGTTAAGCGTCTGCCTTTGGCTCAGGTCATGATTCCAGGGTCTGGTTCTCCCTGTCTGCCTCTCTCCCTGTTCGTGCTCTTCCCCTCTCTCGCAAAATGAATAAATAAAATCTTTAAAAAGGAAAAGAAAATTCTCAGGATGGCAGCATGCCTAGTCTTTATAACTGTAGTTTACCTTTCTTTGACTGGGCTAGCTCAATGCTGGAATTTCATCCTTATTTCATGTGCTGGCTTCTCTTCATTCCAAGGCTTCTCAAAGGAACCACTTTTTTTCCCCCTTGAACATTTAAAAAATCCAACCAAACAGAAGAATCACATTCACGGTAATACTAACAAAATGCTATTTGTTTCACAGGATAATCCTACAAAAACAGCTTCAACACTACGAGGCAATTTCTACATCACTGGGGACAGGGGCTATATGGATGAAGATGGCTATTTCTGGTTTGTTGCAAGATCAGATGATATCATATTATCCTCTGGGTAATTTATCATCTGTATAATGTCTACATTAATTGATCATTGGTGTTCTGGAATGGACCTGCTGTTCACCTTTCTGAATTCCTGTCATATGTTTTATTTCCCAGTTACAGAATTGGACCATTTGAGGTAGAAAGTGCCCTGACTGAGCATCCTGCAGTTGTAGAGGCAGCTGTTGTCAGCAGCCCAGACCCCATCAGGGGAGAGGTAAAAAAAAAAAAAAAAGGATTCATCTCCACTTTATAATTTGTTGGCAGTCTAACATATACGTTCCAACAGTTCATTGAAACAGAATTACCTAAATGATTCATTCACTAACTGCAAGTCAGATAGTCATTAGTAAACATGCTAGTCAGAAAGAACTGCTAAGAATAAGACCGAAAATATAGATAAGCAATTTGAATCCTATCCATAGAGGGATGGTGTGAATGCCAACAACCCAGAGTCACAGCAAGGTAGGATGGCAGGTATCAACTAGATAGGATTCAGTTATTACCCAGGTCTGGAAACCAACATGGTCTCTAGTGCAGCTGAGAAGGATAGGCCAGCATCAGATATCAGGGGTGGAAGGAAGGTCAGAGATAGCAACTGAGGCAACCGGAAGTAGGCTGGGTACGTAGGCAAGTGAAAGTGGAAGATTCAGGAAATAAGCTGTGAATAAGACAGTCCTAAAAACTCATTCCCAACCCCTCCCCCGCTTTTTTTTAAAGTAAGCTCTATGCCCAACAAAGGGCTTGAACTCATGACCCCGAGACCAAGAGTCACATGCACCCTTGAAAGCTCATTCTTACTGGGGCTGATCAGAGGGTAGTTTGGGTTTAAAGGTTCCATGCTACTCTTCAGGTCCCCTTTGCCAAGCTGGGCCTCCAATATTCCAGATAGATGAGAGCAGGGAATTGGTTCTGTGATTACTGAAGTTTATCCTTTCACTCTGAACTCCACCAGTAGGATCACAATGTTCCTTCGAATTTGAAGGCCATAGGGCATTATTGGACTTATGCAATGATGGAAATGTTCTATATCTGTACCATTTGATACAATACACACGGCTATTAAGCACCTGAGAATGTGGTTGGTGTGACTGAGAAAATGTTTATTTCATTTTAAATTTAATTAGTTACATGTGGCTAGTGGCTACCAAATGGTACAACTATAGACATAAAAATGCAAAATTTTGCAGAGAATTTTAGGGAAACTTTGAAGCTGACTTAAGGATTTTAGTTAAAAAAAAAAATCCTGTTTTTCTAATACTACTACCACTAATACCTAATATTTCTAAGGACTTCTTCTGATGTTCCAGGTATTATAAGCCCTCTACAGGGCCTGTATATGTTAACCTATTTAATCTTCACAACCTCTCTTTTTGGAGAAGGAAACAGGCACAGAGAGGTATCCTAACATTCCCAAGATTACACAATAAAGTGTGATTTGAACCCAGGCCGTCTGACTTTAGAGTTCATCATCTTAATCATGTTAGGGTGCTCCATATTAATTTACGATCTTCTGCAATGGTTGATAAAGATTTTTATAGGGGCACCTGGGTGGCTCAGACAGTTGAGCATCTAATTCTTGATTTCAAGTCAGGTCATGAGATCAAGCTCTGAGTCAGGCTCTGCACTCAGCATGGAGGTCTGCTTGAGATTCTCTCCCTCTGCCCTTCCTCCAACTCCTGCGTGCATGTGTGTGCTCTCTCTCTCTAAAATAAATAAATAAATCTTAAAAAAAAACTTTTATAGAGTAGACCTTATCCAAGGTGCAGAAGTCATCAATATGCAAACCAGTAATTATAAACATTAGTTCTTAAAATAAGCTGCTCCTGAATGATTCACTTATAGCAAGGTTAAATTTTTTTAATTCATAAAAATGTTGATAAAGCAGAAGAGCCAGTATAAACACAAAATTTTTATGAAATATCAAAAAATGGATATGATAAAATGGATAGATAGTCCAAAAACTCTGGGCAGGGCAGGATTTTCCAAAACATTTCAAGGAAGAGTAAACATTGAAAATAGGATTTGTGAGCATAAAGTGATAAAGTCTTCCCTGTCTTCTGACAACTAGAGAGCAAGGACCACCACCACTTTCTAATCTTGTTCCTCAGGGGCAGGTAAATTGGTCAGAGTAATAGCAAAATGGCTGTTGGAATCTTCACAGCCTTATATCGACATAAGTATCTCTGGAATGAAGAGTGCACAGCCTCAGTGAACTGTTCCCTCAATAAGGACATAGCAAACTCGGTGTGAATACTCTTTATAAGGGCCACACTGAGCGTGGGGACCTAGAAACTAGGCTAGATCAGGCTAAGATGTTACCCAAGAGGCTGTGCTTAGTGCATTGTCGAGTTTCTAAAAGGAAGGTTTTTTTTTCTAAAAGGAATTTTTCTTGAAGGAGATAAAAGATGAGGCAAGAAGTCAAGAGCAAAGACAGACAGCTCAGAAACAGAAGCAGGTCAGAAAGCAGAGTTCAAGATGTAGTTAGATGAGAAAGTTCTAGTTCATTAAGATCATTAACAAAGCAGGGCTCCCAGAAACTCTCTTGTATTAGAAGTCACGGGACTCAACTGGCTGACTTAGAGCACAGACTTGGGATCAAACCCTATGAAGCCTTCTGGCCCACCCCAGCAGGCATTAGATTCCCAGTTAGAAAAAGTAAGCAAGACACACTAAAACATAAAAACATACAACTCATCTTCCTGGTGTTTCAAATATTTTTTTCAGGTGGTAAAGGCTTTTATTGTTCTGACCCCTGAATACAAGTCACATGATCAAGAACAACTAAAAAAGGAGATTCAAGAGCATGTAAAAAACACTACAGCACCTTACAAATATCCCAGAAAGGTAGGTATTCTAATTATGATGACGATTTGCTTAGTGTTCTGACAAATTTCAGCTGTTTATTTATTTTTTTATTTTAATGAACATTCTCCTCAAACATGCTACACCAAATATTCCAAATTGAACTAAAGACATGGATAAGAATCAGAATCTTTGAGATTAAAATGAAACTCTTGACATTATTTGCAGGGTCATTTGGTTTACTGGACTAGTAGTAAATACTAAATATCAAGCAACATCTCCTCAACAATACCCTTCTCCCTTTTTGGTTGTTACCAAAACCCACCCAGATGGGTATCCTAATTCTTTCACCTACAGATAATAAAACTGCTATATAACTGACTATGTATAAAGATGAAAACTTCTGGGCTAATTTTTTCCCTTAATACCAACAGGTAGAATTTGTTCAAGAGCTGCCAAAGACTATCAGTGGGAAGATAAAAAGAAATGAACTGAGGAAGAAAGAATGGGAAACAATTTAAATCCATTCTATTATTTATCACAGTATCTATAAAACAAAGAGTCTGTCCAAACCACAAGAGTATAGGGAGGTGATTAAAAATGTGATAATATACTTACAAATTGTTGATTTAAAATATCTTGTGGTTGGAGCACCTGTCTGGCTCAGTCAGTAGAGCATGCAACTCTTGATCTCAGGGTTCTAAGTTTGAGCCCCACATAGGGTGCAGAGATTACTTAAAAAAATAAAATCTTTTAAAAAAGCAAAATAAAATATTTTGTGGGTATATCATCAGAGGCTGAATTCTGAAATAAAATATTTAGTAAATTCCTCTGCATTAGTGTCAATGTTATTATGATTTTGTTAATATAAAAAGAATGCCATCAAGTGCTAAGAAATTTTTAAACATAGTATCTGAACCAAATTTCTGACCTGTTGGTTTTCAAATTCTAGTTGAATAATTCTTCTGATATGTTGATATACAAATCAGAACAAATCTTCAAGTTTTGAAATAAAACTAAACAACTTATTATAAAAGCTTTCAGAAAAATAAAAATCTCAGTTAGAAGATATCATAATTCTCAAAGTCTAAATATCTACCTGAAAACAGGCTAGGGATTTTTATTAGTCACATTTTTATTCAAGTAATTTAAAAATAGTTTAAACTCATTTCAAGGTCTAACTAAAAGAAGAACATCATGCTACAGTTGCTCGTATCTAATCAAATGCAGTATACAAAATATTTAATTTGTGGCTCTTCAAAAAAGTATGATAAATTTGGCAAGTGTTAAGATACAACATAAAAATAAAACAGTGTACAACTATCATCAGAATACTCATGATGTTTGGAAATTCAAGGGACAATCAGGATTCATACATGAATAGAAGACAAATGTTAGATAACCGATAAATGAAATTAGAAGACTGTGAAATTGACTTTTTCTCTATTTTCAGTGTGTGTGTGTTTAATAGCCCCAATACAGTCTACAGGACTCAGATATGCTAAGTCCCCATAACTTGTAGCCTTTTTTCTCTTTATCACACAAAAAGTCGTATTAAAGTAAAAACATAGTTTAGATGTAGAGAAATTTTATCAATTCCTCATTGAAGGTCTGAGTCTCAATGAATTTTTAATAGAAAAATTTACATTTCTGTCACAAATATGGCTTATTTCTGGGGAACTAAAAGTGAGTCCCGCTGGGGAATGAGACAGAATTCTGCTGTTGGCTCTCTCCTTTTGAAGTGTTTGTTCCCATTTGAAATAACCACAACATTTTCTGTTTTCTCGGTATTTCCCAATTGGGCAACAATAGAAGACTTTTCCATGGTTTGGTCCATTATTAGAAACAACAAGTCTCTTAGATCTTCGGCCACACTTGCATAAAGGAGGTGTCATTTTCCCACTCTTCCAAGGCTCTTGTAGGTTAACTGTAGAAGCTAAGACAGAGGGGAGGACCTTCTGGGAACAACTTCCCACTGGGGAGCCATCAGATGATGTAGGCTTTTCTTCATGAACAGTGAGGGTCTGTTTTTTTGCTGGTGGGACAGACAGAGGACTGGACAGATTCCTTTTAGTACCACCTAAAATGAGGGGGTATTTCCCCAAAACTGAAGGATGAGACATAGTGGCATTAACACTGTTGAAGCTACTTGATTTGCATTCAGGTAATTTAAAGTCAGAAACATCTGCATCTGGATCTTTGGCTTCTTCCACATGATAAATAGTAGTATGTGGACTCTTATATACAACAGACTTAGAGGTCCCAGATTTTTGAGGAGTTTCTTCTGTGCCTTCTTTCAAAACCATTAATCTTTCTATAGAATTAAATGAAGTATCTAAGTTTGAGTCACTAATGGACGGTATACAATCTATACTTTGCTCAGGCTGAGATGCTGGCAGTAAAGCTACATCCTCCCTATCAGCCAACATAGGTAAACAATCAAGAGCAGAACTCATTTCCGTATCAGAAACATGATTAACAGATGAAATGGTAGTTGATACAAGTACCAATTCTGAACCAATTGCTGAAGACTTAGATTTGGTATTAAATGCAAGGTGTTCGTTTCTTATGTGCTTCTGCATAGGTGTATTCAAGCTGGCAGACGGCAACTGCTCCAGAGAAGTAGAGGACTTTGTATTAAAAAGAGATAAATAGCTTTTGCCATTATGAAGACCTGCTTTTATATTGCTCTTTAGTTGGAGCTGATCCTGTTGTACCTTTATAGGAGAATTCACACCACCTGGCCTCATGTGAACTTTTTCATGAGAATTTACTGTATTTTTAGGCTCCCTATCATATATACTCAGACCCTGAATGCTACTGTTGCAGGCGGATCTTTCTTCAACTTGATTCGTATTCAAATTTCTGGCAAAAACGCTGGAATTCTTCTTAGTGGGGACCTATGATTCCACAGACAAATCCAATAGCTTTAGAAACTATGCATTTGTAATCTCTTTAGTACACATTAATGTCATCATTCACTGATTTATCAATGATTTCCACACATGATATTTGTATTTCAATGAACGTATTACTTCTGGAGTTTGAGATGACAGAATAAAGAGGCAAGAAACCACTAACCTTGTTCAAGGACCTTGTAATTTTCATTAAGCAACCATCCTTGATCATTTTCCAAGCAAGTAGGGCAGTATTCCGAGAATCATCCAACCCTGAGGAAATAGATATTAAACACTGAATTTAGTAATACCATTGTAAAGAAATATAGCAAAAATTAGAAATCACAATTAATATTGGAACATACTACTAGTTTTATGATCATCTACTCATTTTAATCATGATAAATTGGACTAGCAAATGCTGTGACAACCTTACCAACAAAAGACAAGATCTCCCACATTTACAGAGGAGATAAAAATTTGTACAGTTCACAAAAATGTAAGCAACATTCTTTAGGGACCATACTTTGTGAGTAATCTAATGGTCTTGTTCAGTTTTTTCACTAATTCACTGTGTTGTCTGGGCATTTGTTTAATCTCCATTTGATTTAGCTAATTTTCATTCTTTTTAGCAACTAGAAAGCCACTAGATGGCAGTCTTTATCTTACACTACTTTATGGTAGTATAATTTGAAAGTCCGAACTCTTTGAATTGTATAGATTAGGTACTTTTTTTAGCCTAAAAGGATATTCCTTATTAATGACATCACCAAAAACATGAGATTCATATGAAAGACTTTCTAGAAATAAGATGACTTACATAATAAAATTATTTTCAATTTATACTAACCAGAATGTTCTCGTCCTAAGAATTCTATTCCCACTTCCTGCAGGGCACCACTTAGTCCTTTTGGTTTTCTTCTATAGAAAATCTAACCAAATAAAAGAAACATCCAAAAAAAGTTACTATTAGAAAGGCTATGTATTAGCCACTTACTTTTCATAATTTTTATTTCTATTAGATTTGGAATGTCCTTATTTTGTTGTCATTTGTACATACTTTAAGAAATGTATTTACGTGAAAGTTTAAAAAAACATTTTATTTATAGTAAACTATACCCATGTATGGGATGAAGTTTAATCATTTTTCAATAGAAGGAAAGTGACCATGCCCCCATCTTTGACCCTTACCTTGTAGGTTACTCTGAGATCAATCCAAAAATTTAAGAATGCGGGTTTTAACAGCTGTTTTCTTTTACACTCATACTCCAGGCAAACCCCCAAGTCCCAGTCTGCATTAAGTATGTTAAAATAGAACAAATTCAATGATGCCAGCAGTTTTTACTCATGCTATCATTTATAAATAAAAGGCTGAAATATTATATAAAAAAAGATTTAGAAAGACATAATATATAGTATATAAATTTATAAATATAAATATGCATTTTGATATATATTGTACATATTTTATATATAATAGTATATAGTATACATCATTACATACTATATACCAAAGTATAACATGTACTATATAGAGAATATGAACTATACTGTATATGCTTTAATATACTATATAAAACAAAATAGGATTTAATTGCTATTAATATTTAACAATTATTCACTTTACATAATTTACTATTAAGAAATTAGGTTAGTAACTAAGTTTCAAAATGATTTCTTAAATACCCAATCAAACACACTGAGTAGTTCAGAAAGAAGAGTAAGGTGTCAAGTTACAAGGCCTACAAGGAGAAGGTTATCTGCTTTCAACATTCTAGAAAATACTAAGGTAACTGAGAAACCAGGCATCTTATAGAAACCTAAAACCAAAAATGACTATTGATGGCACAGAATTGCTATCAATGACTTTTAATGGCCCCTTTTTTTCCTAGTATGAAAGTATAAAGCAAAGGATGTGAGTTGAATGAAGACTCTTTTTATTCAAGGTTATAGAAAGTAGCATAAAAGTTTTCACTAAATCATCTTTGCCTGGAGCCAGAAGAACAGGGAGGTACAATCTAGTTAAGTCTTAAAAAATTTTAAAGTAGGGCGCCTGGGTGGCTCAGTTGGTTAAGCAACTGCCTTCCGCTCAGGTCATGATCCTGGAGTCCTGGGATCGAGTCCCACATCGGGCTCCCTGCTCAGCGGGAAGTCTGCTTCTCCCTCTGACCCTTTCCCCTCTCATGCTCTCTCTCTATCTCATTCTCTCTCTCAAATAAATAAATAAAATCTTAAAAAAAAAAAAAATTTTAAAGTATCCCAGAATGGTAAAATTTGAAAAAATGAATAAAATTTATTTTCCTTGGTTAACATCTTTTTGGCACTGAGATTTCTTTTTGAGGCCTAAGAGGTTAACAAGTACAATTCTTACTATAGATAAAGAATTACATAGTGGTTACCCTACTCATTTATGATTGATAGAAATAACTTATTTTTTACCTGACCAGGTAACAAATGCACATAATTTTACTTCGGAATTAGGCAGATCTGAAATCCCAGCAGCAAAAATAATTTTCTTCTGTTGCTGAATCTTCTGAATCCATTTACAGAACTGAGATAAGCAAATCCTCAGAGGGACTCCTTCATCAACTTGAGCCTGAGTAAAGTCACAAAATCTAAATTCAACAATCAAATTCTGTAATTATTGAACACATCATTAGCACATAATTAAGCGCTTTAGGGGGATGTAAAAAAGAAGAGGTTCTGGGCACCTGGGTGGCTCAGTTGGTTAAGTGTCTGCCTTCGGCACAGGTCATAATCTCAGGATCGCGGAATCAAGTCTCACATCAGGCTCCCTGCTCCGCAGGAAGTCTGCTTTTTCCTCTACCCCTCTCCCTACTCATTCTCTCTCGCGTGCAAATAAATAAAATCTTAAGGAAAAAAAAAAAAAAGAGGTTCTGACTGCCAGAGTTTATTTAGTGAAAAAGATGCTAAAA